TATATCAAAGTATTTCATTTATCTCGTTACACTTTTAACATATATATCGGCGCTACCAGCTTTAATAACGGATGCGACTTGAAAATAATTAGAGGCTGTCATCAATTCTTATTAAACCTCATTAGTATTTATGATTATTGTTAAAAGTAAAACGAAATCAAAAGAGAATAGAATTATGTTTGAATCAAAAATATGACGTCTGGACTCACGACGGCGGACTCCAGAATTGAGAATTCAGCATTGATAATTCAGAGTGCAGTGAGCGTGTATCATAGAAGCATGTTATTATGAAGAATCTTTGAGAAATACAAGAGCATTAAGATCAATTGCAGTTTCATTTTAAAATATCATCGAATGCTCTAGAAGAAGTGACATTTGTAACGACAGCGAGGCTGGCGTCCCTCTCTTGTAAAACAACGAATCTGTAATAAATCCGATATCAGAAGTGGGATCGCTCTCGTGATCATGCCGGTCTTATAAATCCTATCCAGCTGAAGAAAATAACCATGTGGAGAACCTGCGTACTGAAGAACGCTACAAGAGAATTTTTTTCATGCCATTCATTGATGTCAATAATGCAGAGCGTGTGCAAACGTTTACTACAAATAAATCAAGGGATAATATTAAAATTACTAAGAAGATCATTTTTAACATCGTTTGACCCCGGTGGTAGAGTGTGTCTTCGGGAATGATGTCAACACATCTATATGGCTATAAATACGTAGTAAATCAGGAACCATGATTCTCAAATGAAAATGAAATCTTTAAAAGGAGTGAGCTCAAATATGTGAATACGATTGGTTACAACATTTACATAAGAAGCCACGTAGTATGGATATTAAGCGGAGATATTATGCGACGATGTGGCTCTATAACTGAGACAAGACGGGCACGTTCTAACTGAAGGTTGAGGCCATAGCAGGCTTGACCAAATACTAATACAAATCCTGAGTTTTCAGATACCAGCTCCTCTCAACAATTAAAAGAACCTGGCGCGCCGAAGTAAATGATTACTCCTAGTTGCTTCAAGTATGGTTAATGAGACTACTTCGCGCTGCGCTGCCCCAGTGTTGAATTCAAGGCCCAATTAAGCATGGACCGAACGATGCGTGAATATCTGTTCAATCCAGATATGGTTCAGCTCTGGAGTGAAACCGGTGAGAGGTTTTCATGTTGTTTCGACTCGGGTGCCGAATGTTCTTTAATAAAATAAAAAAAAAAATTTTTTTTTGAAAGGTAAGATTTCTAAGTAAATCGCAATATAATAATACAATTGCATTAGAAGGTGAAGTAACGCTCGCATTAAATGTAATATCTAAATTCTTTAAACAATTTAAGAGTGATTCAGTTTATTACTTACTTTAATTTAATTAGACAGGATCTGCTTACATTAGAGTATTCTATAGAGATTAAAAATAATGTCTCATTCTTAAAACAAACAAGATTGGAACTGAAAAATCATTTGAATAATGTCATAGAGAGAATTAAATAGGAATACGGTGTCTGATAGATATCCTTTGCCACTTATTTCGAATCAAAAATGCTTTCATTTCGCCGCGATAGCAGACCATTGGTTGAAGGCTAAACAAGAAATAGATAACGAAATTAATTTTATTATCACGAAACTAGAGGCAAACTATTTCAATAGTGATATCTTTAAAACTTACGAGATAAGAGGCGCTCTTCTTTTTCGGAAATAATGAGAGCTCTATGTTGCCTTTAGTGTTTAGGGAATTTCCGTGAGCTAATCTCGTGTCCATGGTGTATTCTCAAGAGAACCATGAGATTCTGTAGGGAAGCCTTGTGGAGCCGTGAAGAGACAAGTATTACACCATAAATCTGGAGAGCGTGACCTCTGAGCTAATCACGAGTTACCCTTGAGCTAACCACGGGTCCTTGATGTATCCGAAAGAGAACCATGAGATTACGTAGGGATGCCTTGTGGAACCGTGAGAAGACAAGTCTACGCCACAGATGTGGAGAGCGTACCTCTGAGCTACTCACGTATTACCCTTGAGCTAACCACAGATCCTTGCTGTATCCTTGAGAATACCATGAGATGACGAAGAGCGGCCTTGGGAAACTATGAGTAAATATGAAGTCACTCAATCTATAAGAAGTTACATGATTTTGATATCAAACAGCCGGCGCCACGGCTTTATTTATAATCGACTGTAGACATACCCTTCACAGTAATATTAACATGTCGGTCGACACACACAGCAGTGCCACTAAAAAACGATGTTATAATTCAAATGATAGCATAATTGACTCCAAATTTCTAATCAAATACACCTATTGCGAGTACAGCTAAGTTTTGTTCCATTTCTGCTAACCGTGGTCAAACGTTTGAATCATGTTGTCGACGGAAAAAGGATATCACGCCGAATTTAAATTTAATATCAACTGGTAAATTTAATCTTAATAAAATGCATGATTTCAGGGGTGCGTTATACAAGAATCAATGGCAAATAACATATCCGGGAATAGAAAACAAATCGTCAACTATTTGCGAGGATTGAGGCCGGGCTCTATTATTCCTATAAATAGTATTATGTAATTACAGGCATCAGCGTACATCTGACAAATTTAGTATCCTTGACGATATTATGATCATACGAATTCAATCCGGCTTTAACAGTTTAGATTACAATTTGACAATCCGTCCGTGGATATCGAAGCAACACATTTAAAACAGGATGGTCGAGGCGGAGAGAAGATAAAAAGTTGGATTTTAGAGATTTCGAGCTAAAATTTAAATAATTTCAGAATGGAGATTTAATATAAAAAGAAATATCACAGAAAAAGTAATAGAAACCGAGGAACACTTTGAAATGTGATTCGTGACCAGCCAGACGATGTTCCACTGGAGTGACGAGAGACTATAAGTAAACGAGCAGCAAGGTAGACTGTTCGACTACCTAATAGTTATCCGGTGAGCGTATTTCATTTTGTTCAATTTACTTCATTTCAAACGCATTACATATTTCGTAGATAGAAGTGTGATTTTGAAACACTTACTTTGAGATATATTACTATAAAATTATTAAATTATTATTATTACTATAAAAGATGCCTTTGATGGCGGATCCGAACCATAACAAAATAATAATAATAATAAAATGGTTAATAAAATAAAATTGTTGTAGACGGGTGGAGACGTCTTACGACAAATAAATAAAAACAAAATGTTGTAGGCGGGCGGAGACGTCCTATGACAAATAAATAAAAAAAAAATGTTGTAGGCGGGCGGAGACGTCCTATGACAAATATGTTATGAATGTTCGTGTGATGCCCCCAAAGCCATGTAGCTTAGATAATTGGACATGATATTATGACCATCTCAAAGTTGTGTTGTAGTAAACAACGTCACCCATACGATCAAAACAAATTTGATATTCATAATTGTAACAATATAAAGTTATCTAGGTTTACTGTGGAAGTACCTAGACTACAAAAGCATTTATTTTTTTATCACAGCAAACATCAGTATGACCGTATCGGCATGACTTCGGAAGATGAAGCATCAATTCTTGATCCTGTCCCATCTACTTTACGAGACGCGCGACTGGTCCAAGCACATAACGAAAACCAACCAAGAAAGAACACATAACCAGGCAGGTGCAGAGTACGCACCGCCTGTCAGAATGGCCGTATCGGCGCTACCAGCTTTAATAACGGATGCGACTTGAAAATAATTAGAGGCTGTCATCAATTCTTATTAAACCTCATTAGTATTTATGATTATTGTTAAAAGTAAAACGAAATCAAAAGAGAATAGAATTATGTTTGAATCAAAAATATGACGTCTGGACTCACGACGGCGGACTCCAGAATTGAGAATTCAGCATTGATAATTCAGAGTGCAGTGAGCGTGTATCATAGAAGCATGTTATTATGAAGAATCTTTGAGAAATACAAGAGCATTAAGATCAATTGCAGTTTCATTTTAAAATATCATCGAATGCTCTAGAAGAAGTGACATTTGTAACGACAGCGAGGCTGGCGTCCCTCTCTTGTAAAACAACGAATCTGTAATAAATCCGATATATACATAAATGTCATAAATAGAAGCCGTCATTTAAATTCCCGAGAATTTCGAAATTTAATGCATGGTAAAATTAAGTACATTTAGTGGACTTTTTAGCGTCTGCATACCCGTATGTTTATCGTGATAACTTTCTAACAGCAATACTTACGTTAAATCCATTTTCTTGTCATTTAATTGTCTTTGTAAGTTGAAAATACGGAGTCCAAATAAACTTAAAAAAAAAGTTGCAAAAGTTATACGAAAATATGGCACCAAAGTCTTATAAAATAATATCTGTTTTTCAATCATGCTAGAATATCTGGAAAAAATTGTAGCAATTGATTAGAATTTTACTTAAATGAAGACATTGATCAATATTTTAAGATAACCTTAAAGAGATGAGACTATATACATATTTATAAAATACATACATATATACAAAGATCTGTCTCTGCTTTTACGATATGGTATAAAAAATATTTAATTTATTACATACAAAATTGAGTGTAAGTACATAAGCTTCAAAAATTATTATTATTAAAACAACTTCAAAGCTTTTTCGCATATATTATTTTATTTTTGGTTCTAATCACATTATTATCATTCTATGTACTGTGCTTTATAATAATGATGTATTCATTTTTTATATGATTGTGGATATTTACCATTTCATACCTATTCATTATATTAAAAATGCTAGAAAGTGATCAGTTGTCACATATCACGATATCTATGACCCGAATTTATGCTCACACAAACAAAAATATCTATTTGCTTTTCAATTAGGTCGATGAATGCTGAAGATAGGTAACGTTACATTTTTTTTGCATTATATGCATTTTGCAAATGAATTTATAGTTTAAACCTTCATATAGGTAGCAAATAAAATGAACGTTTTATTTTACACGATGTTTATTTTCATGATACGATTGTTATACGAGTAACTAGTAGTGCGATAATATTTTTGACACTATTTTTTCATATTTGTCATTAGTGCAAAAGCCTTATAAGACCAGTTGATAAGCTGAAACAAAGTTTTAATAAATAATAACACTGAGTTTGTTGCAATAATATTTTAAAAAATATGCATTGATATCTAAAATTATACTATAATAGAAATAGCTTACATAAGTGTATGTGTTTAGTGATAGAATAAATATTTTCCCTGCTGAGACCTGCAAGGGTCGTTGACAGCGTTCCAGAAATATAACAATAAACATCATAGTCCGATAGTCCATCTTCAACCAGGGACCGTCAAAAGCCGCTTGACGAAGTTCAGTACTCTAATAAATCAATGAATTTAGGTTATTTTATATAAATTATATTATGATTTCAATCTCTTTACTTGTTTTGTATGCTCATTGGCATCATTAACAGATAGTTTGGTCCCATGTGAGTCTATATCCACACATGTTCCGTCTACGAACATTTTACAACTCTAAGCACATACAACTTCATTGTCTATATAAATTATTAAATAATTATCTTTTATGACAAAAATGGCAATTGGAAATATAACTTCGGTAGAGCTTGACTCGTTTCTTTATCCTACATATTTAATAAAACTGAGATACGGAGAGGTGTTCCTGTAGTTTAATCTTTATAAATCATAAAATGTTTTCGTAGCTTTAAATGTAACGTTTTACTGAAACAAAATTCCTTGCATTGTAGTCTATGTTATACAATTATATGTATATTATAACTAACATGATAATTTATAAAATTCTCTCCCTGATTTTGCATCACGAGCATTCTAGAAATTGTCCATCATATAAAAATAACCATAGGTATGTACATATATTTAGAGTTCTGATAATTAAATAGAAATTATACCTTCAAAATCAGTTCATTTCCAAACCAACAAAGAATAAAAACTTCTTGCAGCATGCACGATAAGTAAACAGCCGTCCACGCCATTTGCATTGGATGTTCTCTTGGATTCTCAATCTTAAATATATAATAATTTATACGAAAAAAATAACAGCACATATGTTATATAAAATAACTTTTATATATTAATAATTAATTAGACATTACCGACAGTATTTGTATTCCCACTAAACACAAAACCATAACGCTAAGCATTAGTTGTAAGGCAGAAGCCAAACTGAATGCATCTTCAATCATTGACACGTATCTGTGAAAAATTATAGCAGAATAAAAATAAAATATAAGATTATTACAATTTCATAATTGAAATCAAAAAGAACAAAACTTAATCTTTCTATTTTTATTAGAATATTCGTTTAAATATTACTCTTGACAATATGTAAAATAATTTATCCTTTAATTTTGATACTTCTTTAATAGCGTGAATGATCCGTTATTACAAATATTTTATGGTACATATTTCATTTTTGACTTGTTAAATTAATTTTTAAAACCAAACCTTATGATTGCATTATAATGTACAATGCATTTCTTCAATATATAATTTACATAATGTTTGCAATCGTAACTTGTATTTTTATGATGCTTCAGATCTCTTTGCCATTTTTCAAATGCTAACACTTCAAAATTTCGTAGGTTATATGCTAATATATCTATTTGTCCAACTGCAAAGAAGGCAACTATTTTGTTAATTTAGACTTTCTTAAAATGCAAATAATAAAAGAACAAGCAATTTATTATAAGCGACTCTAAATAAATAAAATGTTATAATAAGTCATATTAATATTTTTAAAATAAGTCATAAATCACATTTAGGTAATTAATTAAAAATATTGAGAAAAATTGTATTATATTTTATTGTTTGTTTCCTCGTGCATCAATGCTTTAAAATAAGAATCACTATGAAAAAGTAGAAAGCTTACTTGCAAAAGTTATAAATACGGCACATATTGTGTCCATAGCACCATCGATTATACAAGTAGCAGGCTTATAATATATCTAAAAATATGAAGTTTGAATAAATTTTATATATTGAAAAACGTAATTCAGAATACTACTTACATGATGAATATAGGCAATGATGTATAAAGGCGGTTTGTATACATCAAAATAGGGATATTCAACGTTAGTAGGCAAAATGTCAAAGTCTTCAGTGATTGGTAGAATTATGGCAACTAAAAAGAAGATCAGTCTCAGATTTTATATTTAAATTGTTAAAATTTAAATATTACGTTTTTACCTGATACAGCACAAACACATATAGTTATATAGTATGTTGTAATAAAGCGCGCCAATTTAATGCTTTTCTTCAAAATCTCAGTGTGTTCTTTTTCTTCAGGCTTAAATTCGTCACAGTATAAAAATTTCAGAAGATTTAAAATTTTCTTTTTATTCAGCCAAAACACTGCGACTTTAAAATACGTGTACATTTCGCTTAAGAATAGATACAAACTGAAAAATATGTAAATAATTAGATACTTATCTGTTTAAAAAAATAAACTTCGGAGTAAGATTAAAATTAACATAATTCAATTTTTTGACACTGTAACCACATTAATTTGGTGAGATTAATATTTATATAAAAACTGTAAAATGTACCCTTCCGCTATGTGACCAATACTTTCTTGACGTTTCAGTAAGTAGAAAACCTCTCCAAGTCCAGGCAAAAAGCAGACGAGCCATAGAACAAGCAATGTATAAAGTAATTGTAACCAGAATAATAGACTCTTTGGGTTAACATCGTAGTACCATAAACCAAAAAATTTTAACCAGTACATCTGTATACCGTAATACATCTGAGGGCTGAGACTGTCATATGGTTCAAATACTCCGTAGGGCAAGTAAGGCTGGAATTTGGACTTAAGTTTTTCTTTTAGAACATTCATATTGGTGTGTAAACCAAACGAAAACAAGTATTATAAAGATTTTCTAGAACTGTCACGTATTTATATCAACCAAATGTGATTTAAAATATACTTACCTATGCGTGTAACAGAATAATTATGTGTCGTGATAAGGGTAAGTACTTTCTAATTTCAAATAAATTACTTTAAGACAACGATTTTTCTTATTTTTTATTAACTGTCAAACTATTATTTCTTCAACAGAGCATTTAATTTATTTGCATTGTTATGTAAAAAGTTGTTGCATATAATAACAAATAAGTTCTGATTATAAATTGATGCATAGATGCATCGATGGATAACATAACATCATCAAAAATGATAAAGTGCCTCGTGTTAATATAAGAAAAAGAGAGAAAAACACTCCTGAATGTATATATTCATACTTTAAATACATGTTGATCATGTTAGTTGCATAACATTGGCATAGGCAGAAAATAATGCAGTCAGTTGTTAATAATGTATATTAAAATTGTAATTTTTAATAATAATAACGAAAATATTCTCCTTAAAAAGGGTTTGTTTAATATGCCTTTAGAAGCAATTATAATAATTACCTCAGCGTTGTATTCTATGGAAGGAAAAGTGCCATTCTTAAGTATGGATAATTGTATTTTCAAAGAGACTCTATGAAATTAATAATGTTTGGCCTTGATATAAGTTTTTTTTTATTGCAGTTGGTGAAGAAATTAAAAAAAAAATAAAAACGCAGATTTGGAATACAAATAAATTAAATTGAGTTTTAATTCATCATTATATGAACATTTTAGAAATGTGTGCCTGAATAGCAATTGATTCTTGAAAAACTATGACACCATTATTAAAACTATTTAAAATCGCCTTTGAATGTTCTATTTTGAGTTCTTGATAGTTTCGCGCAGTTATATCATATGTTATTCAAATAACGCTTTCGGTCAAACGAATATCGTCACTTTTGTAACATAATATCGTATCCGTAATACTCTAAATTATTTAAATTAAAATTTCAAATGACAATAAAGTCATAAATAAAATGTAGTGCCTAGTATCTATGCATTAATACCGAAAGTTTCTTTCATTTAATGCGTGTTTTAAATGAATCTTAGTTGTAATTTTGAATCAAATAATACAAAAATACATGTAATCGTTGTATCGCTCCAAGCATCCGCTTCAGTTTAGACAAATGGACTTTCTCCATGCGATACGTTCCATAAATTACAAAAACAACCTGCAGCTTGCTGTCAACGAGAGAAAATACGTTGCAGAACTGATAAAATAAATTAAAGATACCATCAATAGTTCTTAGCAACCGCCTCGGCCTAATTATCATTTTATTTTATTAATAGAACAAGCTGTAGGTTAAAATATGTAATATTGTGTTATTTCTTAAAGGACATTTCAATATTTTGTCATAATATGCACTCTTGTGCTCCTGTCAAATAAAGTTTTTAATGTGACAGAATTTTGTGGCAATGGGAACTTTAACCTTACGAATTATATCTCGCTGTTTTTATAAAACAGGAAAATAATAAAAGACTAAATAAATAGTGTTGTCTCTGAAAGCTGTGCAAAAATATCAAAGTATTAAATAAGCCGTCAATACCTTTTTATTATAACCACTTGCGATAAAGTTAAAAAGAATTTATTAATTATTATAAATGAATTATAATAATAAGGTGACATATTTTAATATCTTATTTTATTAAGTAACTTTTTTTCAGATTAAGTAACCATTGTGTAAAGTAATTACAAACCAAGATTTTATATTTTTATGTAAATTTTTACTATATGTGTAAGTTGTATTTGGTTGTCTTTCATTATTTGTTTTCATTGAGCATTAGTTTGTCAGATAGTATTCAGGTACATTTGTAAATAAAAAGTTACCTTGATATTAATTACATTAAAAATAAGACTTACTTGAAAAAAATATTCTTTTCTAATGAGGAGATGACAGGTACTCGGAAATAAAAATGGTAAACGTAAAAGTTTAAAAAAATAAAAAGGACAAGTAAAAAATATTCAAACAGTACTAGTAAAGTACTAGTTGTGAATCGATGTGGTTTGGAGAGACTTTGAAATCCAAAGAACGAGAGCCAAGCGCAAAAATCAGATCGTATTGTTAAAAAAACGAATTAACTAAGTTTCCAAGGCTCCTTTTAATTTTTCTGGGTAGATGTTACTATATTATAGATATTTATTTTATTATAGGTCCACCCTTATACAACAAAAAAAAAAACATAAAATCCGAAAAACAACAGGTTTATCCTCAACTACACATAAAAATAAAATATACATATACGGTCGACTTGAGAAACCATCTCCCTTTTTTTAAAAATTGTAAAAATCTTCTATTTTAGTTAAGAAAAGCGATTTTATATTTTTTAAACGCTGAAATATATTTGTTTTCTATATTATTTACAATAAAGGTGCACAGTCAAACATAGGATTTTTATAAATTAAATAGTAAAATTTTAACTTATTTGTGTTCTGATAACAGTAGTAATTAAATTTTAATGCAAATTTTGTAAAGTTTAATTGTATCATTTAAAGTACTTAAAATTAAAGTATAAAAGTAGAATTGGTTATTTACATTGGTTACATAGATAGGTGAAATAGATTATTTCTATAGATTTATTTTCATTTATATCTTTTGGAATAATTATGTCGTTTAAAAATATTCTTTTACGTTTATTATGCTCCAATGACCCAAAAAACCAAAAGATGTTTGTGATTTACGAGGGAGCATTGTAGCCTACAGATCTAACAACTACCTCTTGACCTAATTGGTTTGTGACTACGGATATTAATGAAGAGTAACTGTGATACCACGACTATATTTGTGGTTTAAGTCTTAACTTTTTTTAAATGTATCTATTTTTTAAATGAAGTGGGGATAAATTAAAAACGATTAATTACAATTTTATAAAACATAATTATAAAAATAATATGAAATCAAAAACATTATAATTATTTAGAAAATTAAGTAGATCGAAGGCTACTTCTTGCTTTAACACAATTTATTTCAAAGAACCGTAGGGTTACACAAACAATACCGAGTGATTGGACAGGTACCATTAAATACTAGTCCAGGGTCCATGGCTCTTATAAGTAAAGTAAAGTATCCATTTATTATATACAAAGTTATTGCTTTCAACGACCTTATTTTTAAGTTATTTATTTGGATAAGATTCCGAAATTTGTTTCGTATATTGCTTATTTTTCTGGATATATTAAGTATATTATTAATAAGAAAGATCATGAGATAGCGTATATAAAATATTCGTTTTCTATATTAAGAAAATTCAAATCAGAACATTGGATGTCGTTGGTTAATACTAAAGAAAAAAGACACACAAATGTAAAAAGTAGGAGAAAGAAAGAGAGTGAGTTTTTGTTCCAAATCAATATATTTATAATAATCATTATTTTTAGTTTGATTTCATAAAACGAAAGGTCATTTTCATTTCCACTTTACGAAGTTTCACTTCTGGTCGAAGTTACTCTATGCACTTTTTTTTTGTTACAAAAGTTTTTAACCTTGTTTTCATGGCTGAGAATTACTATTACCATTTCTTTTTGTTACATAAATTATACAAAAGTTAAATAAATGTTAAATTATCAATTTAAAACTAAATTATGCAAAAGCCAGTAAATACCATTCATCAGTACCGTAATTGATAAATCCTTAGCTTCAACTTGTAGTTTTATGAAAGAGATGCAAATAGACAGATACTCGAACAGCAGTAACAGTTTCTTTTTCAGCTCGATAAATAATAATAGATAAAAATTACCTAAAGCACAAATGGTTTCACAAACATTTTATAACTACGTACCATTAATATACATATCTTAAGTGGCCTTATACGTGAATTTCCAATTTGAAACTTTCTGTACTTTTATAAACTAGGTACATACTTTTAATAATTTAAAATTCTTCTAATTATTTTAATAAAATTATAACATTGAAAAGAAATAGGAGAAAACTTTCAATAATTAGAAGTACAAAATTTTACATACATACATTTTTAAAACATAAATATTAGGTTGGTGCGTATGAAATGTCGGATTCCTAAGTGATTGTATAAAACTGCATATCTTTCTTCAAAAGCTGTTTATTCAATCAAAGTATGCTCCATTCGCTTCAATACACTTCTCCCAACGAGGTTTTAAAGCGTAGATGCCTGTCTTAAAAAAATTTGGTCTTTAGAATTAATAAACGCTGATATCGAGTTTTTTAGACTGACTTCAACTTTTAGTATTTGCCCCTTAAAAACAGCTCTAAATGCTTGAAAAAATGAAAATCGGTCAGCGAGAGATCCGGTGAATATGGTGGATGCTGCAAAACTTCATATTCCAGTTCGTTCAGTTTCGCAATTGTTTTGTGCGATGTATGCGGCCGAGCGTTGTACCCACTTGTCCATCTTCTTAACCTTGCCAATCTCAGAAAGGTGTCTCAATATCGTTGTATGATCAACTTTCATCCTGATAGCAAGTTCCCTCGTGGATACGGCTGGATCCGCTTCCACTAGAGCCTTCAGGTCATCATTCTTCACAGACGTTTTGGGTCTTCCGCGCGGATCATTTTGCAGTGAAAAATCGACAGTCCGAAATTTTTTGAACCAACGCTGCACTTTCCGATCGTTAATCGTATTCTTCCCAAACGCTTGGTTTATGTTGCGTGCAGCTTTTGCAGCACTATTACCAAGTTTGTACTTATATAAGAAAATGACACGAATGTCGGCAGAATGCATATCGGCAATAAACTCAAAAGAAATAATAAAAGAGAAGACCTTCGAGAAAACCTATTTTACTGAAATGAGTCTCTGGCAATGGACAATACGACTATGAAAGAGGTTATGCCAAAGACAAAAGTATAACGAAAACAGGGAGACAAACGTCCGCATGTAAAGAGAATCCAACATTTCATACACACCAACCTAATATCAAATATTTAAATTCATTTTCCAATAAATTAAGTTATTACAAATAAACATACATAATGA